GACCGGTCCTTTGCCCAGCCCTTCGGGCTTCGCTTGTGCTCCTGCCGTTCGCGGAGCAGGTCCCGGGCCGGCTCCGCTCTGGCTCCGCACCCGCTGCTCCCGGAGTTCCGGCTCGGGCGGGCCACCTGGCTCCTGGCAGCGCCACAGGCGCCGGACGCGGACACCGGGCTTTACTTAGTGCGCTTCTCGCTTCCGCCTCTCGTTCGCACCGCTGTGGCGGCCGCCCAGCGGCACGGCCCCGTGGCTCCCGCTGGCCATGCCCCCTCAGTCTGTCGCCATCTTCCGCTGTGCGGAGAACACCTTGAGAGCCCGTGTGCGAGTGTGTTTGGGGGGGAGCGGGGCGGAGAAAGAGGCACTGAGAGGAGGAGGGAGCGGGACTGGGGCCCCGACTGCGCCTGCGCCTCAGGACTCCCCCCCCACCCCACCCCAGCCCCCGCCGGCCGCAGCCTGTGCTGTTTGGGGATGTTTCCAGTCCACCCCCCAACTCCATTCACTTCAGCGCCTCCGTTCATCCGCCCGCTCCCCGCGTGCACACGCCACACGCTGAGTCCCAGGCCCTGGCACTCCCCCTCCCCCATCAACTAGGGCACCCGCCTTCCTCCCTTGGGCCGCCCCACACTCCCCCGAGGGCTAGGAGACTTCTGAGGGTGATTCTTGGAAGCGGGAGGTATCTCCCTAACGTCTCGCTGCCTCCCTGGGTCGCCTCCCCTGTCCCCGTGACTAGGAGACGCTGGAGCCGGCTCCGGATCGGACCAGTCCCGTGTCCCTAACTCCGCTGTCGCCCTTACTGTCCTGCCCGAGGCCAAGGCGGCCCGTGGTGCTGAAGGACAGCTCCCAGTTTAGCTTGAGAAGAGGACTGAGCTTGAAGAGCGTCCGGGTGGGGGCAAGGCTGTGAGATAAGAAGGGTAGTAGTGGTGGGGTGTCGCTTTTTGCCCTTAGGAAGATTTCCAGCAGCCTCCCCCCAACCCCCGTCCTAGCTTTCTGGCTCCCCCTACAGGCTGCTGAGAATAGCTGAGCAAGAGTTAGGGAAGCTGTGCCGCCGGGATGGAACCATGTGCTTGGGGCCCTCACAGAGTCACATGGCTTTAGAAACTCGGACGTACAAACGTCCTGCCGCGCCACTAACCTTGTTTGGACTCCTCAAAATCTCAGATTGTTCCTGTGGACTACTTCCTTTCTTCACTCCCTCCTACTCCTTGTAACTCTCACATTCTAGTTTTTAACCAACTATTGTCAGCAAGGATTTGCTAACATGAATAATGACGACAGAGAAAATAGCCTTAATTGAATGCATACTATATGCTAGATACTGTCCTAGGGACTTTACATGCATTGCTCATCTGATCTCTACACCGATCTTATTAGTCTTTTACCTTCATTTGCTTATGAGGGAGCTGAGGTTTATTTAGTATGATTAAATTGCCTAAGGTAACCAACCTGTGCAGCCAAGACAGAAGCCCAGATAGCATGGTTCTAGAGTTCTCTAACACTCCAGAAAGGCTCTAGAAAGTTGAAGAAATGGAAGACACAGTCCTATCTTAAAGGGAATTATAGTCTATAATGTATATTTTAAAAACCCAAACATATATATAGGCTAATGGGAGGATTCATGGACCCGAGACATCAGATCAGATTCTACCACTGAACATGCTGTGTGCCCTGAGTGAATCCTTTCCCTTTCAGAGTCTTGGTTTTTTCGTGAATAGCATGAGGAGATGCCAAGGGTTAAATGAGATGAGTGGGGATTGTTAGCACTACTCAGAGGGAGACTGGCCTGGGTGCATGAAAAGTATCTGAAAGAAAAAAGAATCGGAGCTGGTTCCTAAAGAAGTAATAGAATTTGAATGGGTGGATGGGAAACACCTTCCACATAAGAGGAAAGCAGGTGAAAAAACTCCAGGGATGAGGAACAGTCTTATATGTTTGTGAAGCCATGAGTGTGACAGTTTGATGCACTTGATGTAAAGAGTTGTGGAGAAATAGAGGGAAATGAGACAAGGTACAAACGTATGAGGCATTTATTTGGGAAGGCTATTAATTCATTTTTGTTCAAGCACTATGCCAGGTATATAGGAGTACTGAAGTGGACCAGACATAGCCCTGCCCTTGAGATGCTCACAGTTGAATTCAGGAGGTATGCCTGTTAGAGAAGGAATTGCAAACCAGGACAAAAAGATGATATCGAGGAGAGGTCTCTCTTCCACAGAGGGAGGGACCAAACAACTCTACCAGCTTCCTTCAGAGATGATTTTGCACATAGCCACTTGACTTGGGGCATTCATACATTCATGTATTTCTCAAACATCTATTGAAGATCTATTATAGTCCACTTGCTGTAGTAGACATCAGATATAGACTTAAATAAAATATGTCTTTGGGCAGAGGGAGATGAATTGAGGTCTTAAGGTGTCAGTGGGAACTGGATAGCCAGAAAGCAGGGAAAGTGATGTGTGAAGGATATCTCAGGCAAAGGGAAGTCATGTGTAAAGACCCAGAAGCAAAGCCAGGGAAGGCATGTTCAGAAACTTGCAAAGTGGTTCATTGTGACTAGGTGTGAAGTGGGAGCACTGCCAAGAAGGAGGATGAGGATTTGGCAAGAGCCAAATCATGCAGGGGCCTGGATGCCATGCTAAGTAGTTTGGACTTTGTCCCTAAGGGGTACTAAGAGCTGTGGAAGAGGTTGAAAGGTTTTCAGGAGGAGGTGACATGATCAGACTTGTGTTTTGGGGATTGATTTGTCTTCAGCGTGGAGGGACTGGGTTGGAGGGGGTGAGACTGGAGGCAGGAAGACTGGTTAGGAGACTAGTTAGTGGTCCAGGTGAGAGGCATTGAGCACTGAACAAAGACATGTGCAGTGGGTGTGGAAAAAAGAAATGCACATGGGTGGGGGAAATGAAAGATGCATAATTGAAAGGATCTAGGACTGGCCTAGATGTAAGAAATAGAGACAGGTCTGAAAAAGGAGGGTGAAACCAAAGGGTACCAGTTAGTGAAACTGGCATGACTACTCCTGCCCAGCTAGGAATTGCCTTTTCTGAGCCATTCTTTGTTTAGTCCTTGGAGGGTTCAGTATTCTGTTTAACAAAGAAGGCTAATGGCTTACAGATACCTAGTTTAGAGCTGATTGGCAGGGCCACAGTGATTGACACCCTTGAGTGCCAATGAAAGAACAGCCTGCCAGGCGTAGGCTATCAGCTCTGAGCACCTCTGGAGCTTTCTGTGAGAAGTCACTCAGGCAAGACTCCCCTCCCTCTCCCCCAGCACACACAGGGCGAAAAGTGTCTCACAAAGGTCCATTTATCACAGGAGCACAATATAACAATAACTTACCCACACAGTATCCGCTGCACACAAAGGAGAAGTGGTAGCACACCAGAAATCAAGGAGGCTCTCATTCTCTCACTCTAGATGAGAGTTAATGGGGCTTGGGCAGCAAAAAGCATAGGCATCTAATCAGTCCCTAGAGCAGAATAGCCAATGTGAGGAGAGGGACTAGAGTGGTCTGCTGCTCCCCAGAGCTGGTAGGCCCTGCTAGCCTTCTCAGTCCTTCTTATCTACCTTCCCATCCCCCCTAAGCAGAAATATCAAGGTGGGTCACTGCTGAGGTTTCCCACAGCGGGGAAAGGCACCCTCAAAACCAGGAAGTACGGAAGACAACTTGTAGTAGAGGGAGGAGGGGGAAGGTTTTCCACAGTGAAACACTGACAATATAGGAAGAAGAGAAAGTGGAAGCTGTTTAGAGGCCAATGTGGATACCAGGGAACTTTCTGTTAATCTCAGATCTTTAAAGGTCATGGGCAAATGGTAGGAAGAATGGAATGTAATTAAGGGTGAATTGGAGAATCTGGAAGGAGAGTGCCAGGTGGCTAAAGCACAGCTTGAGCTGAAGCTTGTCATGGTCTCTCTGGGTCTCACTTTCTGTCCACTCCTCCCTCCAGAATTAGAGTAATTTTTCTCATATCTGCAGGCTACATCTGTCCTGAGATGTAGCCTGCAGATATGATTCAGTTACAGTCACAGAGATATAGGTGGATGTCACTGAAGAGAGTGCTCCATTGATACAAGACAGGATTGAAGTAACCCCAACCTGCCTACTGGAACTCAGCAACAAGCCATCCCTTTGCTGCTTATAGGAGTCTAATCTATAGTTTCTATTGAATCTCTACCTCATTCCCCACTGCTGATCCTTAGCCTTCTAGGCAGGGTCTCAGAATTTAAGACCCTGCCTGACCATCAGTCCCCTGTCAAAGCCTAGTCTCAGTCATGCTCTTTTAGTCTACTTTCTAGGGAGAGAGTCCTGATCTTGAACCTCAACACTGTGGCCGAAGCCTGGTGGTCCACTGATTGACTCCTCCAGTCCCAACTGCCTACTTGTATTTCTAAACACCCTCTCCTTCTGATTACTAAAGTCATGTTCAGCCTCTAGTTTTCCTGTTATGACCCTATGCCAATTAGGAATTCTTTTGGTCACAAATAAGAGACAACTCTACAACTGTGACTTAAATAGACAAAGATTTATTTATCTTATTCAACAAAAACTTCTTTGATAGATGGAATAGGACTGGTATAGCAGTTCACCGATGCCATCAAGATCCTGACTTTTCATCTCTACTACTCTTAAGGTAGACTTTCATTCACTTGCCTTTTGCCTCAGGGTTACAAAATAGTTGCCACAGCAGTTCTGGGCTTCAAATCTGTATTCTAGACAGCAGGAAACGACAGAACTGGCGAGGGGGTGGGAAGGCTAAGGGCAAAGGACCTCCAAGAAGTTTTTGTCTTTTTATTCACAATAGAGCACTCTTTCCAGTGACATCCACCTATATTTCTGTGACTGAATCATATGGACATTCCTAGCTGCAAAGGAAGCTGGTAAATCCAGTACTTTTGGTGAGTACATTGCACTCTGAACAATGTTGGGATTCTGTAAGTAAGGAAAAAGAGGGAAAATCATTATAGGCAGGTAATTAGTAGCATCTGCCATGGACCCAAACCACCAATCGCTTGCCTGGACCATCTTTCCTTTATTACTACCCCCACTACTGGGCTTGGATTGCTGGAATGGACTTTCTCCTAGCAACTGCAGCTGGGTTTGTTCCTCTAGCAAAGGATAGAAGAGACCTGCCTGGTTTAACAACAGCATATTTGAAAAAGACCTTGATTTGATTGTAAAGTCTATGTGAGCCAACAGAGTGATGATGCTGCCAAAAGAGGTAATTAGATTTTAGGCTGCATTAATAGAAGTATAGAACCAGAACAAGAGAAGCAATGGTTCTGCCCTTTTCTAC